AAAAAGGAGAATATGGATGATAAGGAACCACTATTAAAGAAACATAACAAATTACTTAATGATAATGATAGCGACAATGAAAATAAAAGGTATGATTTAAAAAAAAAATATAATATTGATAAACACATAAGAACTTATCATTATTTATAGTTCTTTTGATTGGCGTCAATATTTTAATCGACAAAAGACTAATGCTAGGAATAAAAAGTTAGATGATGAGATCAAACAAACTACTAAAGATATTCCAATTAGTGTTTTACAATTGGTAAGTATATTTTAACAAGAAATATCATAAGAGAAAGCATGTTGTTTTTCTTTTTAAAATATATATGTGAATTAATTTATTTCATGTAATGATAGTTTCGATTTGCTGACCGTATTGATATTCTTCTTATAATTATTGCTCTGTGTCTCGTAGTGGGGCATGCAATTTGTTTTCTCGCGACCATAATTCTTTTTGGACGAATCACGGGATTATTTGCTACTACATCATTTGCTGTTGATTGTAATAACCAATATCGAAATTTAACATCTACAATTATCAATAATAGTGGATGTCCTTTTGGTATTGATCTTAATCCATTAAATTATGATCGATTACATAAGTATTTGAATAAAGAATATTTTTATTTTTAATCTTTTAAAATTTTTCATTTGTAGACTATGCTATTATGATAGTAAAACTATTCCATCAACATTATCTCCATTAACGCCCTTATTTCGAGAAAATGTTATGCATCTAGTTTATTTGCTTTTTGGTAAGTCTATTGAATATGATGATTGAAATTAAGAAAAACAAACAATTTGTTATTTCTCTGCGTTTATGTAGGTTTTAGTGTTCTTATATTTCTATGTACTTCTATTGAACGTATCTGTTGGACAACTGCTTCGAAACGGCAGACATCTCGCATGAGTGTTTTACTCTTTCGATCACTTATTCAACGTGTAAGTAAAAATATTTTTTTATACTCATAAAATACTTTATAATTCGTGATTATGAACGATGAAACTAGTTAAAATACAGTTATTCTATTTATTTTTCTTACTCCGTGTCAAACATAAAACAAAATTAAGTAGATCATTTTGATATCGATTTCTAGTTCTCTTTTTTCAAAATATTTCTCTAAGCAAGAAACTAATAATTCTAAAAGCATCGTTAGTATATCAATTAAGTTCTAAAAATAATCAATACAAAATATATAAGAGAGAAGGATAATAATACGAATGAATCTCAAAGATCATGTTGAAGGTAGTTTTACCGTAAAAAAACAGAGAAGTGTATTATTGATACAATTTAGAAATAGTTTAAACTAATTAATTAGAAAATAGTAATGATAATGATAAACTGATATATTTGTTAAACTATGATTTAAGATAAAATAATGTATTATCTCTCTTTCATTTTTTAGAACATGACTTACTTGGATACAAACCAAACTACTCAATACAATTCGATGCTTTTTACGTAAGCAAATATAATAATTTTATAATAAATAATTATATATGATCGATTTCCTTTACAGTAATGTTGAAAAGATCAAAAATGGGATGGGTTTCGAATTCTTGATAGTCATTGCACTTATTTTAGGTATGATTTTCAGTATAATCATATGTTTTATTATCAACTGGAAACTATCTTTAATTATGTCTTGTATAATTCCAATTGTTGTTGGTATTTCATTGACGTTTGCTAAGGTAGAAATTATTATTTAATTTACTAAAATATTTATCAATAATTACAGCTTATCACGAAAGAAACAAAAGAACAATTAAGTACATATTCAAAAGCTGGACAAATCGCTCAAGAAGTATTCAGTTCATTAAGAACTGTTCTTTCGTTCAATGGAAGTAAATCGCAACAAAAGCAGTAAATAAATAAAAATAGAATTATAGATTATTGTATTATTTATTAAATGTAGATATGACAAAGAATTAAAGTTAACTGAATGGTGTACTGTTCGCAAAGATGCTGCATTGGGTGCTTTATTTGGTTGGTTTTTTTTTATATCCTTTATAGTCTATTCAGTTGGTTTCACTTTTGGTTCGATTCTTATGTCTTATGGAAATCATCCTACACTGACCATTACTGAGATTCTTATTGTAAGTGAGCTTTAACATCAATATGCAAGAAAGTAACTGAAAAACGAACTTTCGTTTAGGTTGTAAATATGTTTGCACAAGCTTTAAATTATCTTAATTCAATTGGTCCTTTCCTTCAATCAATTTCGGAAGCTCAAGGTGCAGCAGTATCCGTCTTTCGACTTATTGATGAGGTAAAATTAATTGAATACTAGATACTAAACCTTGATCATAATATTTTCTATTTCATTTTTTATGATATAGGTACATGATAAAAATCTGAATGAAAGAGAAATATTGGAAGAGAATATATCTGATGAAAAATCTATTTCTAATATTAATGGTGATATTGAATTCGACAATGTTAGTTTTTCTTATCCATCTAGAGAAAATGCAACAGCTTTGAGTAATCTTAAATTGATTGCTCGTGCTAATCAAACAACTGCTCTTGTAGGTTCAAGTGGTTGTGGTAAATCTTTTTTTTTCTAAAACAAACATAACATTTTAATATTGAAATTGATTGATAGGAAAAAGTACATGTGTATCACTTTTGCTTCGCTATTATGAACCTTCCTCAGGCAGAATCATGATTGATGGTCAATCAATTACAGATCATAAAATCAAACAATTTCGTCAAAATATTGGAGTTGTTAGTCAAGAACCTGTAGGTTTCTTTTATTTTCTTTTGTAGTCTCTGTCGAATTTTTATATTAAAATAGATTCTATTTGGAATGAGTATTTATGAAAATATTCGTTTTGGTAAATTGAATGCAACACGTGCAGAGATTGAACATGCAGCAGAACAAGCTAATGCACATCATTTCATTATGAAATTACCAAATGTTTGTGTTTAATTATTTCTTTTTATCTATATGTATATGTATTATTATTTATATTTATAGAAATATGAAACACTTGTTGGTGAACGTGGTATACAATTGAGTGGTGGTGAAAAACAACGTATTGCATTAGCCCGTGCACTTGTCAAACAACCCAACATTCTTTTGTTAGATGAAGCAACAAGTGCACTTGATAATGTTAGTGAAAAGATTGTTCAAGAAGCACTTGATCGAGCATGCAAAAGTAAAAATTATTTAATTACTGTTGATTATATTATTATTATTATTATACTATAGATCGTACAACTATAGTTATTGCTCATCGTTTAACTACAATTCAAAATGCTGATTATATTTATGTATTAGATAAAGGAAATGTAATTGAAGAAGGTACACATGAAACATTATTGGCAAAAGAAGGAGGTAAATATCAAACAATGATCAAAATGCAACAATCTGAAAAAACGATTGGTACACAAGATGGCTTAATGAATATGGCAAAAGCAGTAGCTGAAGATGAAGAACAACTATGTATGTTACTATTTTAATATTAATAATTATTGTATTTTATGAACTTGATTTTATTCTGTTTTGTCTTTTTGGAATAGTGGAACGTGTTCGTAAATTGAGTGAGATCGAAGCAATTGATGCAAATCGGGTAATAATAAATATCTAACAACTTTAAAAAGTCATTATTAATGTATAAATTTTTAGAGAACTTCGATAGCAATAAGAGGAAAATATGTCTTTCTTAGACTCATGAAGATGAATAGCCCTGAATGGAAATTTATCATGATTGGTTGTGTAGTATGCATACTTGGTGGATTACGTGGACCAGTGTTCTCGCTTCTATTCGCAAAAATCATTAATGTGAGTGATTTTATTCATATGAATATTCTAGCAAAAGATAAGTGAGATGTATTTTTTTTTTTGACTTTTTCTTTTATTTAGGAATTTAATGACTGTAAATACACTGATATGCGTCGTCGAGTACTGATTACAAGTGGTTTGTTTCTTCCTCTCGGAGCTGTCTTTATGATTCTTCGTTTTTTCCAAGTAACATTAACATTACTAAACTATATCAATAAGTTTTTTATGTTTATTTACAGTATACGGTTTTTGGAATTGCAGGAGCGAAATTGGTTAGTCGCCTTCGTTCAAAAGCTTTCGCATGTTTACTTCGTCAAGAAGTAGCTTATTTTGATCGACCTGAAAACAGTTCCGGTGCTATATGTACTCAACTCTCTTCTAATGCAGCTGCTATTGAAGATATGGCTGGTGCAAGATTAGGTTTTATTTGCGAAACTTTATCCTTGTGTTTTTTTGGCTTCGCATTTGGCATTTTTTACAACTTAGATTTAACAATAATCATAGCTATTCCTTTCTTTATCATACTGATAGCTACTATTATACAAATACGTTCAAGTTCATGGTTAAAAACACAATCTGACCTCATTTACTCTGAAGCCAGCACGGTAAAACCATCTTATTATTCATAATATTTTAATGTGTAATAGAATTATGTTATTATACATTATTTGATCAAATGATTATTAAATATTCATTGTATGTTTTGTCTTCTTTAGCTTGCTGTTGAAGTTATTACTAATATGCGCACAGTAAAACAGTTATCAATAGAAAATGAAGTTTTACGACAATATTCGAATATGATTGATCAAGTGTTAGGGTTAGTCTTTTGAATATTATGCATGTATACATATTTGAAAAAGAGCTGTTTTCTTAGTAATGAAAAAGCTTTAAAGTTAACTGAGAAAACAATAGTAAAATCGGAACATGAGAGAAATTTGATCAGATATTTCCTTTGATTATAGTTAGTTTATTTTCTAGTTATAGTAGATCTATATTAAAATCTAAATATATATATATATAAAGCAATAAACAAAACTCCGAGTGCTTTTAATAATCTTGATTAATTTTGTCAAAAAATAACATGTTCTTCTATATCAATAATACCGAATATGCCTCTCTTTTTTTTTACAGATATTTACTTCAATCTTCAATAAATTTTCTTTTGTATAGAATGTCTTGGAGACCTGAAGTACTGTTTGCAGCAGTATATGGATTGATCTGGACACTGAGTCCATTAACTTTGGGACTTTTATATTGGCGTACTTTGATTCTTCTTGAACACAATGAAATAGACATTGGCGATGTTGTTATGTAACTAAAACAATAATTTTTATAATCTATAAATTAAGTTTCATTATTTTTTTTTGTTTTTATAGAGTTTCTGCTTTTGGAATGTTCACATTAGAATCACTAAAAGTTGTTGGAATGTTGTAAGATATACAATTTATGTTTTGTTTTTGTTTTTCTTATTTTCATTTCAGAGCACAACGTATTGGTGTATCATTTGCTGCTGCTCACGCATTTTTTGACCTATTTGATCGGACACCAACTATTGATAATGGATCGAATAAAGGACAAGAATTAGTAAACGAAAAAAAAACCATTGCCTTTCAATTCTATATTTTAATCTTGAATTGTTTAGACTAATTTTCGTGGAGAAACAGAATTTAATCAAGTTAAATTTGTTTATCCAAGTCGTCCAACAGTTCTTGTTCTTAATAAACTTCAATTATCTATTAAATCAGGTCAACGTATAGCTCTTGTTGGTATGTTTAAATAAATTATGTTTTCTAATTTATTAATCATATTATATAATCATTTTAGGTTCATCTGGATGTGGAAAATCAACAATAGTTCAATTATTAGAACGATTTTATGATGTTTCACATGGAGAATTGGTAAGTATCTCTTTTCTATATATAATTCAAGTATTTATATAAAAAATATTAATATAAACAAGCTTCTTGACGGTGTTGATATTCGAAAATTAAATATTCAATGGCTTCGTTCTCATTTGGGCGTTGTTAGTCAAGAACCAATTTTATTTGACTTAACAATTGCTGAAAATATAGCATATGGATTAGAACATATATCAATGGATGAGATTGTTCTTGCTGCAACTAAAGCTAATATTCATGAATTTATTCAACAATTACCTCAAGTTAGATTAATATTAAATTATTTACTAATATAATCTTATATTGTTATAGGGTTATGAGACAAAAGTTGGAGTAAAAGGTGGTTTTTTATCAGGTGGTGAAAAACAACGTATTGCTATTGCTCGAGTTCTTATTCGTCAACCTAAAATATTATTATTAGATGAAGCTACAAGTGCTATGGACCCATACAATGAACAAGTAAAGTTATTTACTTTTATAAGTACAACTTAATATTTTTAATTTTCAGATAGTACAAGAAACTCTAGATCAAGCTCAAACAGAAGATCCTAGTCGAACATCAATTATTATTGCACATCGTCTTTCAACAATACGTTCATGTGATTTAATATATGTACTTGAAATGGGTCGTATAGTAGAAAGTGGTACACATACAGAACTAATAGAAAAACATGGAATTTATTATAAAATGTTAAATGCTCAAAACAACGTACAATAATTATTGTTTAACTATTTTATTAACAAACAAACAAATAAATATTTTTGCATCTATAACCATACAAATATTTTTTACTTATTATATTTTTTTCTAATATATATGAAATTAGCTTTGAATTTAATTCTATCTAACTTTATAGATAAATTCATTAAATCTAAACCATTGATTAGTCTTTTATTATTATCTTGTCATAAAAAGAAATAATACATATACTTCACATATTTTAACATGATCTCTTTGACCTGATCTATATAATATATTCTATTTTTATTATATAATACAACCCAAATATATTTATATATCTTGTGTGCATAGATAATATCTAAGATATGATAATTATTATTAACAATAGCATTTTTAGAGATACTAAAAAGTTTAAAAAATTTATTACAGTAGAATTCATGAGAAAAATAATAGAGTTTTTATTAATTATGAAACAATCAATAAAATCTAAGCAGAATTTTTTTAATCTTTATCTTATTTAAGAACTTGTCCACGGAAAAATCTAAAGTTAATTTCTTCTCTTTTATCTGTCAATAGAAAATAATTTGAATGAAAAGTAATACTATATTCATTGATATAATTATCGACTAATAAAATCATCGATAATCAATCTTATATAAACAAAGAACATTATTAATAGCTCAGTTAAAATCTTGAGGGTGTAGATGTGAGTATTACAGACACAATATGCATACACCTACACTCACATTCATACTCAAAAATAACTAGAAGAAATAGAACGTCAATTGAAAAATACATATCGTTTGAAGGATAACTGTCTTCCGCTGTTTCGCTTGTATAATCTTATTGGTATCGTGACATTATCTATTAGAAGAGATTACAAATGTTACTGAGATTATTTAGAAACCAGTGGGAAAAACCAGGTGTGTAATTTACTTCAATTAGACAAGTGTATGGATTTTCGTGTAAAACGATATTTTAAACAACTATTGTTAGAGTTATGTGGTAAAAAATTTAAACTCCAGCTATAAAACACATGCCTATTTCAGTATAATCAGCAAAAAATGTTTTTTGTTCTTCTGTTGCTTGAGGATTGATATTCTGTTTGACCCATTGGAATGTACGAAAACCAGCTTTTTGAAATATGTTTTCGTATGTTTCGAGTTAATACCAAAAGTTTGCGACAGTGGGTGTGGATGTGAATATGGATGTTTATTAGTTATTCACACTCACATCCACACATATTTTTTTTCTTCATATAATAGAAATAAATTAATTGATGTTTGCAATTTATAACTATCAACTAATGCATCAATATAATCAGACAAACAATCAGATGAAACTGAAGAACCAGCTGGTATTTCATATTCTTCAACCGTTGGAACAAAACTAAAAGAACGACTTTTTAATAGATTTTGACGTTTATTATCAAGATTTTCATTATTTGTTTTATTTAAAGCAATAGAAACTGGTTTTTCTTTTAATGATCTTAATTCATCGTCATATTCATTTGAAGATGAAAATTGTTGTTCTTCAGTAGCTTTTGTAGATAATGATTTATCAATATGTTCTATTTCTTCATGTTCCATAGAATATATACAATCAGATGAGAAAGACGAATTGACCTCATCATTTTTAGTTTCAGATATTTCATTAGATGTGAATGTCATTGAATTATACTGTTTATCGAAAAATAATAAATATAAGAGAAAAAAAAGAAGAAGAAATTAAGCATATAGGTTACCGAAGAAAAGAGAATTCGCTTGTTTTGTAGAGATAACTGTTTTTGTCGATAATAATATCACTATGTGAGCGTCACCAACTGCATATCCTAAATGTCTATGTATTATTTTTTTTCTATTACTTCTCGGAGAACTGTCGCAGACAAAACTAGTCGTGCTTGTAATTATTTCGAGAAATATTTTCATCGTGCCTCGTCGCCTAATACCGATATATCTCTAACGAAGATATTAACTATGTAGCAATACTCTCAAGTGATTTTTATTATTCTTTTCGTCAAAGTTGAAAATATTTTTTATTTAAAATTGAAATGAAGAAAGTTTTTATTTGTAAAAATCGAATTAAATATGATAAAGATATTATTCACTAGTTATTTTAGTTTATTTGAACAACAAAACAAATCTTTTTGAAAGATTTATTAAAAGAAATGAGATGAAAACATTTTCATTTGGTTAAAACTCTTTGAAATCAACAATCAAATTTGAATTTTGTACTATTTTAAAAGTTTTTTCATTGTATTTGAATCCTTGTTCAGCTTCCCTTCATTTTAGTAAAAATATTTATTGATTCATTTTAAAATTTCAAATCAAACAAAATAAAATTTCAAAATTATAAAATTTGTTAATTTATTAAACAAAAATCTTTTCAGCATTTGTTTTGTTCAATAAAATTCATTTGATTTCTCTTCTTAGTTTTGACCAATTCTTAAATTTTATTAAATCGAAGAAACAAGAATATTTCATTATTTTCGTCAAATAAAGATATTCGAATAGAATTTTATCAAACATAAAACTTTCTTTTCGATGAATCTTTATTTCATTTCAATTCAAATAACAAAATATTTTCTTTTCTTTTCTCTTCTTCTATGAAATTAAACAAAAGCTAAAAAATTTTAAACTTATTTATTCAAATCCCCTAATCGATATTATCATATTTAATTCAATTTTGAAGAAAAAAATCAAAAAGATTTTTCTTCGTTATTTCGTCAGAACATGTGTTTTTCTTCAAATTTTAACCGATTTTTTTCATTGATTTTCAATAATATAACTTGACTCTATGTTTTATTTTTATTTCTCCATCTTTTATTTAACTAAAATTTTTTTCTTTTTTTTTCAAAATCAGAATTTCATTTACAAAATTATTTCAAACTTTAAAATTCGTTGATTAAAATAGTCAGTAACATAAAGATTTCCTTCATCATCAAAAGATAAACCAGTGGGAAAATGCAATTGATTTGATTGATTTCCTAAACCATTTCCACCAACTACAACTTCACCTTCTTCTTTTCCTTCACACCAACGCATTACTCGATGATTTTGACAATCTGCCACATAGATCTGACCCAAATCATCAACAGTTACTCCTTCAGGTTGAAACAACTGATTAAGATTTTCGCCTGCATCGTTTCCTCCAGCTACAATTGTTCCTTCTTTTGCATCTTTTCTCCATTTCATCACACGATAATTGTTTTGATCTGATATATAAACACATTGATTTTCGTCAACAAAGATAAAACCTGGAGAATTGAGCTGACTGAATTGATCTCCTTCTTCATTTCCACCTGCCACCACAATTCCTTCATTGTCATATTCACCTATTTTCCATCGTCTCACTTCATTTTCTACATTATGAGAAACATAAAGAAATCCATTTTTATCTATTGCCAAATGGGAACAGTCAGTATCATTAATGAGAATTTGTTGATTTTGATTCATCCATTGAATCACTCTTCTGTTTCCTTCATCAGCAATGATGATGGAATTATTTTGTTGATCAACAATCAAATCTGTTGGACAACTCAATTGGTCGATTTGGTCTCCTTCCCCATTTCCACCTGCAATGATTTGTCCTTCCTCTGCATTATATTTCCATTCAACAATACGATGATTATAAGAATCAGCAATGAAAATATTTTTGTTTTTATCAATAAAAATTGTATTAGGGTAATTGAATTGATTTAAGTTTTGTCCTTCTCCATTTCCACCAGCTACGGTGATGGCATTTTGTTTCCATTTGTTGAATGTTGGTTCTAGAAAAGGACAAAAAGAAGAAGAGGAAAATTTATTTTTCATCGAAGAAAAAAGAAAAGATTGGTTTTGAATGAAACTTTGATTTTGTTTTTTGTTAAAGTTGAAACTACTATAAAATATATAAAGTGATAAAGTTCTAACAATAATTAACAAACATTGAAGAAAAACTCATTTTTTAATTTAATATTATTTTATATCCTATTATTCTTTTCTTTTACATACAAATAAATTGAAATTTTTATTTCTATCAGTTCTACTATTATTGATTAAATAAATTAATAGTATTCTCAATTGTTTTTATCTTCTTCATCATTTTTTTTTCATCGTATTACAGTTTTTCAATATAATTTCTTAAAAACTTACTTTTTGGTAAAATAATTGAAATATCATTAATAAATGATTGTGATTCTTGTTCAATAGACATGTTTGACAAATTATTTAATTCTTGTGTACTTTTTCTTAACTGATTTGTTAAATATTTTAAATTAATTTCATTAAAGTTATTTTCTGTATGAAGTTGTTTTATTTGATCATATAAATCATTAAATTTCATTTCTATATCATCAATACATGTTTCTGAGGATTTAATGACAATTTCTCTACACTCTTTTGCTTTCTGTTGAATTTTTTCAATTGAACTTATTTCCCATTGATCAATTTGTTTTATTAATGAATGATTATGTTGATTTTGTTTTTGTTCATTAATTCTGTCTTTAAATTCATTATAACCGTGAATAATATAATGTAATTCTTCATTTAATCTTTGTTGATGTTCTGGTATATGTCTAGAGCAAAATCTTTTTGAACATCCTTCACAAGTATATGTATTGTTTTCTCTATGACATATAAAACATTTTCTTTTATTGTTTGTCATTGCCATGTGTTTGAATAGAAGTCGATAGAAGTAATGAATATCTATTTATCTACTTTTTTTAGACATAAACTTAAGAAAGTATCGATGTTCACACGTGTACATGGCTAGTCGGTTATATACATAGATAGATATAACCATTTTACTAGTAAATATAAAATCATACTATTATCTCTTATATGTATTTCTTTTGTTAATATAAACTACATTAAGATGGTGAAAAAGATCTTATTTTTTATATATCTTCTCAACTGGAAACAAACTCTTCCTAGCAGTATTATCCTCTTTAAATTTCTCTTTAACTAATCGTCATTAATATTCAATTAACAACTTTAGTATTTCATCGATATATAAAAGATGTACGATTGAACAACGTCTATGCTTTATATAAAAGAGACGCACAATTTGTTCTTTTAACAGCATTGTTATAATGTGAATCATTCGTGTTGGATATTTCTCTTTCTTCTATTTTATATATCGTAAGATGACAAATACGATCCTATACATAGATGTATTTATTTCTTTCCTTTTCTCAACCTTCAGGTCTTTTTCGGTCATTTATTTTCCATGTAACGTTCTTCTATACTGTTGCACATGTCGCTCACATTAGAGTAAATGTTAGATAACTGATCAATTAACAAACTTCTTATTAATATATCTTCATTGATTAGTTAGAGACGAAAGTGAACGGACAAATTCTTACCAATTAAGATTAGTCCCAGTAGAGAACAACCCTATTCCATGATTTTGATATAAATTTGAATTTAAAGAAATGTCATTTTGTTTCTTGTTTTCACATGGAAGTCATCATTTTTTGCTACTTTCTAATTACTTGAGCAGTTAATACATCAATAGGTGAATCTTCGATGAAAGTAACAAATCCTTTATTTACATTCATTATTGAATGATTAGGAAGAAGACTTGTCGTATGTCCATCTGCTCCCATATCAAGAAGGACAATACCGATTGACTAAAAATCTTATCGTTATTCTCGTCTAATATTTCTTTTGATTGTTTTTCATAATCGTCAAGATGATAATCAAGTATTTCAGCTAAGAAATTATTATTATCAGCAACATGTACATTCTTTTTATTTGAAAAAAAAGTTTCTAATTGTTCTCTATATTTTATGCATTTTCAAAAAGAAGTGATCGTAAATTTTGATAACAATTAAATCTCATTTTAGCATAATTAACATAATCAAAATCTATAGATGATAATTTTCCTTGTACTAATGCCTCAAGTCCCCATGCTAAATGTACTAAAGCAGAAAATTTACGAATAAGTCGACATAAATCATCATTAATTCTTTGTTGATCGAATTGACGAGTTTGAAAATAAATTTTTAACCATCGTTTTTGTTCATCATAACTTGGATATATACTAAAATCTGCATTTTCAACACCAGCATATTCAATAAAATGATTTGCAATATCAAATAAAGCATAATTTAAATGTGTAAATTCAAAATCAATAAATGATATTGTTTGATTTTTATTATTATAAACAATATTTTTAACAAGTAGATCATTATGACATAAAACAAGATCTTTACCATATTTAGGATTTGG